AACCATGACATCTGAACTAGAGAATTTGCTGAGCCTTCCTGCATGCTCTGAACCCCTCCGCCCCTAAGGTTCTAGGATGCCACCAACTGAGAGGCTCCCCCATAGGCCTTGTTTCTCCCAGGACCAGCTAACCTATCCCCAACTCATGAGCCACACCACAGAGCTGTTTGCTCTGTGGCTGCACCAGCTCTAGGTCAAGTCACCCAACAGGTAAGTTGAGAGTCCCCATGCCCTCCCTGCTCTGGCCCCCACACACCACACCCCCCATGTCCCCACACGTCACATCCTCCATGTCCTCTTCTAAAGCCATGCCCAGCTAGTACCTGTCATGCTCACAGAGAGCTTGAGTGTCCCTGTGTCCCACATCGGGGCACCTCTCATGCTTGGGGGGCAATTGCTGCTCTGGAGGTCTCAGAGGAGGTGGATTTGCCCTGATCTTCTTACACATTTTAGACTCTCTTATGTGTGGTCACTGGAGCATCCAGGTGAGGATGGCTCTTTCCCAGAACCAGCAGCCATGAACTGGATCTGACTCTGCCTGGGGATCCTGGGGTGGAGAAGGTGCAAGGATGCACAGATCCTTCTGCATCATCACAACCATAACACATGTGTTGGGGAGGAGTGTCTTAGGGTGACCCCTTGCCAGTAAAAGTTGCTAGGTGTCCTACCCCCTCACCAGGACCTGGCATTGGGAGGTCAGGATCCCCCTGTTCCCAGACTCCGGGGTCCCCAAGAGATGGATGTCAGATATCTGGGTGAGCACTGGGGAGAAAGGGGAGAGACTCAGAGCTCAGAAAAGTATGACACCAGGAAGACCCTTCATGCCTTCCCTCAATGCAACCCCCTGGCTGAGGCTCCTACCCTACAGGTCACATTCAGAGATCGTGTTATCTATTTGTGACAGTATCTCCCCAAAAGCCTTCTCCCCACAAAGGAAAACTTCTGGCTGTCTCCCATCCCGGCATCTCTGTTTCTCAGGGATCGGTCATAGGTGGAGGTCCCCAAGGAGGTGGCATCAGTCCAAGGTCCTTGGTTCTCTCCTGCAACTTTTGACCTGGTCTGTTTGTGGGCATAGGAGGATTGTGCTATGTGTTGGCCCCTTCCATAAATCAGAAGCTGTAGACTAGTCTAGAGTAAACCAAATATAATTCAGGATGAGAGGAGGTCGAAGCATGATACGCAGGCTCTTCACCCTACACCATGTCCCCAGTTCTCATACCTGCAGTTCCTACCCTGCATGCTTCTCCAAGTTGTACCCCAAAATGGAGACCAAGGACCCTCCATGCAGTCACATTTCCTTCAGCCCTCTGACCCCTCCACACTCACAGCAGGGGCAGCAGCAGCGTGGGCTTGGAGGGGGCACATCTGGGACCCCTGACTTTACAGGATCAGCCCCTTCTATCTGGAGATGAGGGACAGCTGCAGAAGAAGCAGACATCTAGAGACTCTTTCTGTATTGGGCTGTCCCAAATCCTCCCTCTATCAGGAGTTCTCCTTCTCCCCAGTGACTGCCAGAGAAGTGAAGGCTGAATTTTTCTCATCCCAGGTCTAGTGACAGCCTGTCAAGATGGCCCCTCCTATCCCACTTCCCACTCATATTGCCTCCTCTAAGTGTCAACCCCCACTCCCCTTGGAAAACAGACGGAGCGTGGTCTCTCTCTGCTCACTTAGAATTCTTGGAGCGTCTCTCAGAGCAGGAGGGTATAGGAGCCAGAACCGACCTGAAACTGAATCCTCTCTCCATTCTGCCCTCAGCCCAGGCCTGGTTACATAAGAAATCTCAAGATGGGGTGGCTGAACTCATACTCAACTGCAAGGGGCCCCTTAAGGCTAGAGGTTGGAACCGAGAACTGACGCCCTGGCTCCAGCCCCAGACTTTGGTGTGATGTTTGTGGGTTTCTGGTGTCAATTTGAGATCAGGAAGCCAGCAGATGTGTGTGGATCTCAGCCCATCCTCAGGTTTCTCGTGAGCTCCTCACACCTTCAGAATAAGTTATAACTTCTAAACAGTTCCTCCAGCCCCACAAGGCCTCTCCTATTTATGCTGTCTATCGAATCTCCCTCTTCTTACCCCACCACCATATTTCCCCGACTTTGCCTGGCTTGCTCTTCCCTTCATGACAATTCTCTACATACTGTGGTCCAGAGGCCACAGGATCCTTTTCCCAATCTGCTTAGTTAACCTTGATGTAGAATGAAGTAAAACTGAGAATTTATTTCTATGACCCATCAGCTCCAAATGCAACATCTCAACCAGACTTCTGATAACTTCATTCCTTCTTTTGAGCTGAATTAGGATTTGGCATAGCACCAGGCAGAGAAAAGGATCACAAATCATGTTCTCTGTCATCCAGGGTTCCGTGACAGTACAAGGAAGGGATTAAAAGCGAAAGCAAAATATCGACTTACTGGAAATTGAGGGGAAGAAGGGGAGGAGTCTGACACAGAGAAGGCTTTCTGGAGGAGGTGAGGGTAGAGTCAGCCTTGAGTGGCAAGGAACCCAGCGGCCTGTGAAATGCATCGTCTCTCTGAAGCTAAGTCTCCTCTTCCCTAGGACGAGGTGGGGGTCGGGGGAGCCTGAGGAGGATCTTGGCTGCCCCATGACCAGCACCTCTATCCTGTAGAACAGAATGTCACTGGCGGCATTCTCCAGCCTTGTTACCTTCCAATGAGACAGCGCTCTGCCGCCAGGGGGCGCTCCATCCCCCATGCTGGACCCCGGAAGCGCATCCCGATGGGTTGGCGCTGTCCATGGTTCTGGAGCATAACTGGGCACTGAGCCCGGGCAACTCCCTCCTCTGCCATGGACCCCAATTCACAGGCACGAGGTCCCCCGAGCCTGAGACCAGCAGGGCACCTAAGTCGGAGGGGCTTTGGAAAGGCCAGGTCCCTCTTGGGAAGGAGGAGCCAGAAGAAGGGATAAGAGTGGGCTGGGCTCAGCTCTGCTTTTCCTCTCACCCTTCATGTTGCCTTAATATTCTTTTGAACTTGTGGTGCCAGCCTGGCTAACAGGCAGGGAAGAACAAGTCATTTTCTGAGGTTCCAGGTTATGTTGATGCTGCTGGCCCTTGGATCACACTTTAAGTAGCAAGTATGTGCCTGGATCTCCCCGTGGATGAAAGATTAGGAAAGAGATGGATGTTCACTAATCTCCCTGTGTGCCAGACTCATGGCTGTGCCTTTTTATATTTTTTCCCATTTAATTCTCACAACCAATCTGCGACAATGCTGGTTAACAATTCTCCTCATTTGGCAGAATGGGAAACTGACAGTTATGTGGTAAGTAACCTTCACATGTTCTCATATCGTTGGTGCACATTTTGGGGCTGGGATTGTAACCCACACATCTGACATCATAGAGTGCTCCTGAATCAACTCTACACTAGTCTCAGAAGAGCAGATTATACACACTGGGGAGGTATTTTATTTAAAAGGTATAGAGACCATGAGACAATAGTCCAGGAGTGATGGTGGTAGCAGAAAGCAGAAGGAGAGATACCCTCCACCTTGCCCCCACAGGAGGGGGAGTCTACAGGGATCAAGGTCATGTCTCCAAGGACCAGCCCCCAACACCATCTTCCAACTAGTTCAGGAACCTCTGCTGCTAGTGGACACGCAACATGCTCGCTATTAGTGAAGGAGTGGATTCCACTTAGCATTTGCCACTGGAATGTCCCTAGAAGAGGAAATTCTTCATTGAATTTCTGTGTGTCTTAGGGGAGTTAGTCAGGCCACCACTAAGAATTAAGATCTCTTTGTGACCTAAAGAGAGGCTGGGTTTTGGAGGATATTTGGCCAGCTGTGGAGAAACAGGAGGCTACAGAAGAAGCTGGGCGTAAGAGGGAAGAATGTACGGAGACTGGTAACAACAACAAGAAGAAATATTGGTCCAATGTATTTACTGTCCACTGCTGGCTGGAAACTGTGTTAGCTGTTCGCATGTTGCATGTTTTCTCACTGGAACTCACAATATGGGAATTTGCCTTATGAAATAAACTGTATCTGGGGAGAGGCTAAGCGGCTTGAAACATTCATAAATAAACGTTGAGCATTTATCTTGGCTGTGCACTTTGCTAGGTGCTGGAGATTCAAAAGTGAACAGAGCAGATTTGACACTAACTTCATCACGAACCAGGACATTCTGTGGAGCTCTGTTTTCTTATCTGTATAAGGGGGCAGGACACCATTGCCTTGAGGAGCCCTTGGGACTGTTGTGAGGATAGGGAGGGGCTTTGGGGACCTGGGCTGCCCCACTTCTGCCAGGACGAACTTCTCTGCAGCATTTACCCAACCCTAGCCACATTGCCCTCACAATTTCAGGACAAGAAACGCCCCTGGCCTTTACTCAGACAAGCCCTTCCAACTAGCATGCTCTTCCCCTGTTTCCTCACAACCCAGTCATTCTCCTGGTCTTATATCTTGCAGATACCTCCAGTCTGTCATCTAACAACTTTGTCTGGAGTGTCCTTTATCACAATATTTTCAACGTTGGCTTTGTCAAATCCATCACGATTTTTGGCACTGACACTGAGTTTTTATTAAGTTTTTGTCATCATCTCTTTTAATAATGTTATTCTTTCTTCAAACTTTTCCACAAAAGATGGCCATCAGAACGTAAGACATTTCCTAGCTTGAAATATGTTTATATATATTTGTTATAAAAATATGTTTATAGTTGACATTGTCTAAACTATATATATTCATAGTTTGTATCATATATACTATATTATAAATTAAATAATATATATATTATAAATATAAATATATAATACATAGTTTATACTATATAAAGATATAATGTATTTATAGTTGACATGCAAACTATATATATTTATACTTTATGTTATATAAATATATAAAATATTATAAATATAAGTGACGTATAATAAATATATTATA